CCCCCCTCCTCCCCCTTCCCCCCTACGACCCAGCGTAGGGAGCAGGCAGGCGGGGCCTGGGGGAGGCGCCCGCCTGTGCCTCGCCACGTGGCCGGCAGATGGCGCTGCGGGCCCAGGCAGGTCTCGGCAGCAGCATCCCTGCCGCTCTCCCCACCCAGCAGCCCTCGCAGCCCAGAAGGCTTTTGGGGAGGGGACTCTGGGCAACCTAGGGGTGCTGACACCACTACCCACCTGGAGGCGCCAGCTCGCTCCCGCCTCCGCGCCTCTGCAGGGCTCCCTTCAGCTCCACTCTTGCCGGGGACCACACCAGGGGATGCTCTTCCTGACCCAGAGAGGAGGGGGCTCACCCGGGGCTGGCAGTCCAGCCCCTGCCCTGCTGCCCAGGCCCCGCCCCTCTGCCCCCACCCCCTCCCTGCTCCCAGCTGCAGCCAGGTCAGCCTCTGAGGCTTTATGCGATGCCTTCCCCTGGAATGCCCTTGACAAAGATTCTCTGCTTGGTCAGGCTCTGGAACCTTCTCCTGGGCCCATCTGTGCCCTCTGGTGACATCCAGTTTTAGCAAGAAGCCCTCACCCTCCACCCCCGACAGCCCTCCACATCTGATCAGTTTCCTCATCCCTCCCACGCTGGACCCCAGAGTGACCCCAGAGCGCTGGTCCCTACACCTGTTGTGACGGGAACAAATCCATCTCACCCTCTTCAACAAGTGTTCTGAATAATTTTTTTAACACCTAATCCCTCCCCACCACACCCCTGTTTTCCTGAAGAAACCCCTTGCACTCCCCTATTTGCCCTCAGAAACCCCCACCCTAGCCCAGGTCACCTCCTCTGTGAGGCCACCCCTGCTTTCCCTGGGCTCCCTGCTGAGGTTGCTTCAACATGAGCTCATCTGGGCCCCTCTGGGAGGTGGGGCTGGGGTACTGACAGCAGGTGCCAGGCAGACAAGTTTCCCTCCAGAGGACCCTCCGCCAGGAGCACAATGGCCCCATCTGACCACCTGACCTCCTCTCAGGATGTTTAAGCCCATTAAGCACAAGAGGTCCAGCCTCAAGTGGCTTCGAGTGCGGGGCCGGGATCCTAGGACCAGCCTCTAGGTCTTCTCGCAGGTTCTCTTCCTCTGGGCTTTGGGCTCTGTGGCTCCAATTCTGGCTCCAGCACTTTCTGGATCAGGGAGTTACTCTCTTCCCTCCTGAGAGCGCCCCCTACAGGCCCCTGTGCTCCCCAGCCCCGGGGGGTCAGTTGGGTGCTGCCAGCCCACCCAGGCTCACTCTGCTCTGCCCATGCATGCTGGCACCCTCCCTGTCCTCCACCACCTGTCACTGCTTCTGATGGCCAGGCTCTTGGGGGAGCCCCCCTGTGGGCCCTTGGCTCATCGCCATGGTCTCCACCAGACCCTGTGCCCCATGAAGGTGGAGACCCGTTCTCCCTGCTGAGCTCCAGCACTTAGTAGGTGCCCGTAACATGCCTGCCGGGTGAAAGCAGCAGATGGGCTCCTCTGTGGACGCTGCCCCGGAGGGTCCCGCTCCTTGAGTCAGCAGAGGCCCCAGGTCCCTGCAGGTGCGCTGCCCGGGACACGCCCTGTCTTCCAGGGTCCGCTCCTCTTTCCACACTCCTCTCTGAATCTTTCACGGAAAAAAGTGGGGAAAGGTTTTCTCCTCCACTTTCTGAAAATGAGATTTTAAAAATAACTCGGAGGCGGTGACAGCGCCAGGAGGGGATTATCTGGGGGTTCAAGCTGCGCCGGGCAAGTCCCGCAGGGCCTGCTTGCCTCTCCCTGCACTGCTCGCTCCCCCGGACACCCTGGCTGGCCTGTCAAGGAGACAGGCACCTGCATCTCTGGTGACGGGGAGGCAGAGTAGGGAAGACATGCAGCAGGAGCCCTGCTGAGAAGGGAGGTGGCCGAGATGGTGGTGGAAGGAACGCTTGGGCTGTGACTCCCAGCTAGAGAAGGGGACTGGCCCCTATTGGTCCCCAAGTCTTCTTGGTGCTCTCCCTTCTCTGGTGAGCTCACTGCTCACCAGCCACATGGCCTCCTGGGCTAGTTCTTGTTCCTCAAGCACTGTGTCTTTCCTGCCACAGGGCCTTTGCATATGCAAAGGGTTTCTCAGACCCTCTTTCTCCCCCCTTCACATGACATACTGTCCTTCCTTAACCTCAGCTTCAATGTTATTTCCCCCCAAGAAGCTGTCTTGGACCACAAAATAGTACATGGGGTGTCCCCACA